GATGAGCTGCCTGGGACTCATCCCACTCCTGGAAGCCAGGTCACTCGGGCTTTGACCCTGTGAAAAAGCCTTGGAGAATCTGCCTGGTTACGATGGGAACTGACCTCGAGACATCTCCATCCCCTCTTGAGAGAAAGTAAAAGAACCTCAACAGAGATTGTAATCTTAGGTCTGCTGTCACCTAGCCAGTTCAGGTTTACTCCAGAGGTCTAATAACTCCAGGGCTGAGAAATTAAGATGATTCTGGGCTGGAATCTCCTGGTGTCTGTCATGAAAATGTAAATGTTTGGGAGAAAAGGGTCTTCCTTCAGGAGTCCCAGATAGTACATGTCAACGTGTCGCAGGCTGTCCGGAAAAATTACTGAGCAAATTAAATACTCATCTAAGTGAGCCACCATGAGCAAGTGCCAACAGGAACAATAAGTGATTGATTTGGATGCCAGGACTTGGGCTGTTGGACTTGGCAGAGGGAGGCTGTAAAGTGTGATAGGAAACCTCTAAAGGGGGGATGGAAAAAATGAGTGAAAAATAAGAGCCGAGTCAGGCAGATCTGAAGATAGATAGTGGAAATGACAGTCACTGAAATAGTGTATCATTAAAGAGCAAGTTAGGTGAATTTGGAGATTACTGGCACATTACCATATGACTCCTTGTCACAGCAAGTCAGAGAGATGGAAAATAGAGTTGCAAGGGAARTTGAGAGGGGATGGAGACAGGAAGTCACGTGGCTTGGTTTTGTCAGTATTGAAGGAAATAGTTGATAATCATCTCAGGATGAGCAAACACAGCGATCTCGACTCCCCTTGGCTTTCTGTGCTTATTTCTTGCTGCTGGTCTTACAAGGTGGTGAATTAGCTCTATCTGTCCTCACCCTCCATGCCTCGCTGGCTTCATTGCTGGGTGCCGGCCGCCCTCTGGTGGACAGAGCTGGGCCTGCTACCTCCGCCGCCTCCATTCACTAGCCAGATTGCTACTGGGTAACCTGTTACTTGGGCCTTTCCCTGCGCACCAGTCTTTTCTTTCCCCCTTCTCTCTCTCTCCCTCCCCCGCCCTCACTCTCTCGCACGCGCTCTCTCTCTCTCTCTCTGCACCAGCTTTGTATGAGGCTCCCTTCCTGCCCTTGAGTTCCGCTGCAGCTCTCTGGGCACTCCTAGGGAGTTCCAGAACCTGTCAGGATCCAGCCTCCCTGAGGGTCAGTCTGCCCTCGACCTTGTGCTGGGCTCCTCCTTGCCATCCCCATCAGCAACTCCACAGGCCCAAGGACTACACTCTCTCCTGTCATAGTTGTCCCTGCCTCTCAGCTCTTTTCACACCCAATGCCAAGTAGCTGTTGGTGTCAGGGAGAGGATCCCTGCTATGTGACCAGAGCAAGGCACTTATTCCCTGAGCTTCTGTTCTTCTGCCGCTGGGGGATACTAGGGTCCTGAGGGTGAAATGTGATGACATGGGTATTGCTGCTGGCACAGAGCCCTGGGCCCAGGAAGCCACTGTAAACATGGTTGCCCTCATGGCCTGATTCTCTTCCAATCTGTGTTTCCTTGAAGATTCATCTTTGCCTCCAGCACCCTGTGTGGAGCCTACCTATCTTGATCAAGTAATATTTGTTTTGAATATGACTTCTTGGGGGCCCACCTCCTCCTTTTGGGGGGAGGGGGACACCAGGGATTGATCCCAGGGGTACTTGACCACTGAGCCACACTCCCAATCCTATTTTGTATTTTGTTTAGAGACAGGGTCTCACTGGGTTGCTTAATGCCTCGCTGTTGCTGAGGCTGGCTTTGAACTCGCTATCCTCCTGCCTCAGCCTCCAAGCCTCTGGGATTACCGGCAAGTGCCACCACACCCAGCCCCACCTCCTTGTTCCTTCTTTTTTTTTTTTTTTTTTTTTTAAAGAGAGAGTGAGAGAGGAGAGAGAGAGAGAATTTAATTTTTTAATATTTATTCTTTAGTTCTCGGCGGACACAACATCTTTGTTTGTATGTGGTGCTGAGGATCGAACCCGGGCCGCACGCACGCCAGGCGAGCGCGCTACCGCTTGAGCCACATCCCCAGCCCCCATCCTTGTTCCTTCTTATCCCTTCCTTTTGCCCCACCAAAGGCTGGGAACTCAGTGAGCAGGTATCCGCCCTCTGCCTCTCTCAGAACTATAGGGTAATAGCCACACCTAGACCAACGCTCTCCCCCTCCCCTGGCTTGCTGCAGGTTTGCACGTGTGCAGGTGAGTCTGGTACAGGCCTGAAGGAAGTGGGGAGGAGGTGCAGGGAGCAGGTGAAGTGCCTGGAGTGCTCAGGTCTGTGGGACTCCACCAGCCCTCGACCTGGGTGTTGACACTAGTATAGGACATCTCATTATCCCCAGTACCTGCCACAAAGCAGGTCCCCAGCAACTGTCAAAAGGAACTAAGAGCCACTAAGATCAATGGCATAAGCATATGGGTTGAGAAAAGAATCTGGCTCTGACCTACAAGTGGAAGTCTGGAAGGTGGAAGGCTGGGGAGGTGTGGGTGGTGGACATAAGCGAGACAGGGCCCTAAGCAGGGAGTGACCAAGGCTGCAGACGGCCCAGTTGGGCTGAGTGATTTAGGCAGAGGTGGCTACACAGATTGGAAGGGGGGCTCACTGGCCTTGAATGCCAGGACAAAACCACAGTTGATCTTCATGCTGAAGAAAGTGGAAGCCATGGAAGGGTCTGGGCCAGAAGAACATGGTCACCATGACGACATTCTGAGAGCCCCCTTCCCCTGCTTCTTTTCAGGGAATGGCTCAAAGTGGAGCCGGAAGCCTACTCAGTGATGCCGCTGCTGCAGGTTGTGTGTGTGTTACAGTGGGGACAGCGAGAAGGTGGGCATCAGAGGGACCCACTCTGTGTCCCCACTGCCCTGAACCCAGCTCAGAAGTTTTTCTGTGGCTGTGACTCCAGCCTCCTGTGTCGACTGCCCGCACCCCGTAGCGCCTATCTGGCTCCCCTTACCTGCCACACAGCATCACAACTTCCGGGGCCTGGGCTTGCTCACATCCTTATACTGAGGGTCCTCCTGCACAACAGCTTCTTGCCCCGCCCCACCCCAAGGGCCAAGACGCTGTCATCAGCCCTACAGTGTCCTCCAACAGCTCCAGGCTTTCAGTAAGGCAGGGAGGACTGCATTGTCTTAGAGAAAATTGTGCCCGGTGCTATGGTGCACACCTGTAATCCCAATGGCTCGGGAGGCTAAGGCAGGAGGATCACAAGTTCAAGACCAGCCTCAGCAAAAGCAAGGTGCTAAGCAACTCAGCAAGACCCTGCCTCTAAATGAAATACAAAATAGGGCTGGGGGTGTTGCCCAGTGGTTAAGCACCCCTGGGTTCAATCCTGGATGCCAAGAGAAATGGGGCTGGGGATACAGCTCAGTTGGTAGAGGGCTTGCTTCCCATGCATAAGGCCCTGGGTTCAATCCCCAGCACCACAAAAAAAAAAAAAAAAAAAAAAAAAAAAAAAAAAAAATTGTGAACTCAGAAACCTGATAAGGTGCTTGGGACTCCAAGAAGGCACTGCTACAGGTTGTTCACAGTTGGGAATGACAGATTTTCTAGTTTAAAGGGTTTGTTTTCACTACTGTTTGTGAAATTACAACACAGGACCAAGGGCAGGATGATTTCCCCCTGGACTGGCTTCTCTAACAAGGAGACATTGGAGAGGAGCAAACCTCCCGAGCCAACCCGGTGCCGTGTGTGGCACAGATGCTGGCGACATGTTCTAGGAGCCACTGGGAGCCGGGCAGGGTCGGGTAGCCTGGCACTGGCCAAGGAGACACCAGGAACCCTACACCGGGTCTTGGGCCTAAGCAGCCAGGCTGGTAGAGAGACTGACCCTCAGGAGCCATTAGGGAGGAACTATAGGGAAGGCTGCTGGGGTGGGGTGCAGTCCCCGGAGTCAGTACCATCTGACCTGACACCATCAACTTTCAGGAACTGGTAAAATGCCAGTCTCCCAGCTACCAACCCTGGCTCAACACCTCCTATGGCCTCCTCAGGATGAAGCACCTTTGGGGCCCTGCCTCCCCGGCTGCACCCGGCTCACTCCCCTGTCCCTGGCCTCAGCCCGCTGCTGGGCTTCCCTCAGCTCAGGGGGCCCCCGCCCCTCCCCCTCAAAGCCCAGGCGAGCCTCTTGTTCTGCCTAGAAAACTCTTGACCCCAAGACCCCAGACCAGGTCAGATGCCATCCTATGCTCTAGGGGTGCCACACGCCTCCCCCTTTATAGGGAGTGTGTGCCACCAATCCCTGCTACCCAGTCCCTTCCACCAAGGGGGTCCCTCTGTGACTGGTCCTTCTGTGACTTGGCCGTTATCCTCCTGGATCTGCTGTCAGGTGACAGTGGTGGTGGCAAGCCTGGCAGAGGAGTCTTGTCAGGCCAGGTCTTCCGCAGGAATCCGGCCAAGTCTGAGACCTGGGAAGGTCTCTGTGGGGTAAAGCTACAACTCTCATCGGATTTTGGACCATGTCACTCCTTTTCCCAGGCAGGGCCCCAAAGCCAGGGCCCAGAGGACACAGGGGCCTGGACCAAGAAAACCTGTACCAGCTCTGGTGAAGCATCCACTCTGAAGGTGCGACACTCCAGACAGGAATCAGCTGAGGGTATTTGCTTTTTTAGCACTGGGGACTGAACCCAGAGGGACTCCACCTCTTAGCCACATCCCCAGTTCTTTTTAAAATTTATTTTGAGACAGGGTCTCCCTGAGTTTTGCTCAGGGTAGCCTCAAACTTGTAGTCCTCCTGTCTTAGCCTCCTGAGTAGCTGGGATTATAGGTGTGTACCACCAATCCCTGCTACAGGAATGGACTAATTTTTTTTTTCCCCTGGGGCTGGGAATCCAATCCAGGGCCTCAGGCATGCCAGGCAAGCACTTTACACTGAGCTGCACTCCCAGTCTGGAATGGACCGATTTTGAAGACAGGTATCCTGCCCTGAGTTTCTGGTCAGGGAGGCGCAGGGTCCCATCACCACGTAGGAGAGAGGAGGCAACGTGAGAGGTGACCACTGCCTTTATTGCCTCTGTGCTGGGGTCGTGGGCTGGGGTTCAAAAGTCTCTGGGGACAGCAGGTGACTCTAAGCCCAAATTATTGCTACTTGGCAAGGTCACCTTGGGGGCTTCCCATAGTGCCCTGAGAATGGATGGGTTGTGAGCATGCAAATGATATGCAAATTATATTCAAATGATATTCGGACCAGCCCAGGTTCCTCCGGAGGTCTGTGGTGTAGCCTCAGGTGCTGGATGGAAGTCTGGTGCTGGCCCAGGAGGGTGATGGGGACACCCAAGTCCCTACCCCATACTGATCTGGCCCAACCTCAAGGGTTGAGGTTTGGGGGGTTGGGGGTCCCTGAGCTCAGCCCTGGTTCTGCTGCTGGTTGGGGAAGAGCAGAAGCCTGGCCCCAAGACAGCAGGAAGGAAGCAGGACAGGACGCCACTAGGCAGCCAGAGAGGGAAGGGACCTGGCTGGTCACAGCAACGCAGGGGCAGAGGGGACCAGAATTCACACTAATAAATAAGTAAATAGCAAGCAGCCCAGTCCCCGATCCCTGGGCTGAGCCTCCCCCAGCGGGCCAGGCCCTGGGGCTTCCAGGAGAAGGCAGCATCCTTGGTCTAGTGTTGAGTTGACCAATGCAGAAGGCTCTAGAAGGAGACAGGCAGGGCCTCAGGGTCCTCAGCTTAAGCAGGTCAGGCTCAGTTGTTATTCATAACCCACCAGGAGGCTGTGGGTCAGAGGTCAGGGGTCAGGAGCCATCAGGGGCCCCTTGCCCCCCGGGGGGGTTCCAGGGCTGTGGAGACCCTGTGGGCTGCAGCCCACCTGGGAAGAACACGGTGGTGAGGGTGTCTGGAGCCCGCAGGTGGTCGATGAGGATGCGCTGGAAGGCCTTGCTGCAGGGTGACTGCTGGTGCCTGGGGACAGCCGTGGAGGGGACCAAGGCTGAATCCATCTGCTCCAGGATCAGGGTCACCTGCTCTTGGGTTCCCCACCGCATTTTGCTGCCTGATTTAGATCCTGACCTTTCCCATAATGGCTGGGCCTCACTCTCCTCCGTGGAGGAGGTCAGAGTGTCTGCTTCACTGAACGTATGAGGCCCCATATAGGGTGCACGTGGCACTCAGCAACAGTGTTGCTCACTGAGCGCCTCCTGTGTACCTGGCACTGCATTCTGGGGTGTGTGTGTGAGAGAGAGGCTCTGGGAGGGGGCCTCCCGCTCTCCCTCCTCAGCTCTGCATTCAGGTCCTTACACATCGGATTTTGCCCCTGGAGGCTGGACTGCCATTGCCCCCATTTTAAAATGGAGGCGATGGGCTCAGCTGGCTTGGGTAGCTCAGCTGAGGTCACACTCCAGTGATTGGGAGGGCAGGGCTTGAAGGCGGACCTGGAGGCTCAGGCCACCTCAGAGTCAGCCAGCAGAAGAGCACGTACCTTCTCCAGGAGGCTTCATCCCGCCAGAACTCGTACAGGCTGAAGGAGGCGCTGCCCAGCAGCTTMTGAGCGGATACACTGTGGGGCCAGAGAGACCAGGCCAGGCCAGGCCAGGGCCACCGCGCCAGGCCTCACAGGACCCCGCCCAGGACGCCCAGCCCAATATCCCTCTCATGCACCCCCGCCCCACCTCAGCTGTCCCACCAGCAGGCAGAGACTCACTGCAGACAGTGGCTCTGGGCTCTGGTGAAGTCCACGTAGCAGCACAGGGCCCGGTGGAAGTCCTGCAGGGCTTCCTCTGCCACCTGCACCTGCCTCTGGGCGACGAGGATGTGCTGATGAGAGAGGCATCTGGTCAGCTGAGTAGGGCAGGCCCAGGGGGAGGACTCTGCCCTTCCTGGCCTGGGCCCATCCCACAGGCTCACACTGGGATTATGTCCCTGCCGCCAACAAGCCCCTCAGCGTCTCTGACTCTATCCTCCAAGATCATAGCCTTAACCCAGCCATTGTCCCCCTGTTCTGCAGAATGCCACCACTTTCTTCTGCCCCCCCTCAGTTTCTATCCACTGTCCCCCTCAGTTTCTATCCACTGCCCCAGACGTGACTTTCAGAAGTGTAAGTGAATGAAAGCTAACACTGAGAGAGCAGTGGTTTCTTTTCTTTTCTGTAGGATTTAACCCAGGGGCACTCTCCCATTGAAGTATATCCTCAGCCCCTCCCCCTTTTTGCTAAATTGCTGAGGCTGGCCTCAAACTTGTGATCCTCCTGTCTCAGCCTCCTGAGTCTTTAGAATTACAGGCATGTGCCACTGTGTCCAGTTCGAGAGGCAGTGATTTCTGCAGGATTATATAGCAAGGACCAGAACCCAGCACCTGCTGGCCAGACCTGGGGAATGGGGCACATATGACAGCAGAGGGTGGGCTCCATAAAGCCCTCACTTCATGAGCACCCCTACTCCCTAGCATCCAGCAGCTACCTCTGCCCAGGCTCACCGAGTCAGGACCATTAGCAAGGTCCTCTTCATGCAGGGGCTCCAGCCGGGGGGCCTGTAAGGGACACAGAATGGGGGCTGAGCCCCTGGCAAGTGTGCCTGGGCGAATGCCAGGGATGTTTCCCAAGGGTGCTGACCACAAGGCCACTCACTTTACACTCCAACTGGTCTATGAGCTCCTGGAGGCGGTTCACCTGGAGCCGCCACTGCATCTCCGCCTCTGAGCTCCGTCCTGGGGTGGAGGCCAGGCCAGGGTCAGCTGTGGGTCCCAGAGGCTGGGAGGCCACTGGAGCAATGGAGGAGCAGGCACTATGGACACAGAGGTGCCACGCCTGCCCTGGACCCCATGCAGCCAGGCCTCCCCCCCTACCCCAGGCACACCTATGTCAGAGGAGCCAGGAGACCAGGACGGTGACCGGCTGACGTTCCTCAGGGCCCTGCGTCCTGCCCGCCGGCTGCCACGGGGCCTGCTCTGCACTTCCACATTCTGTTCACTTGACCTGGGGAAGTGGAGGGTCAGCCTGCGGCCCCCAGACTCTGGGGCCAAGGACTGGGGTTCCCGGAGAGAACCAGGCGTGAGTGGGCAAAGGTCTCCTCAGAGCAGCTACCCCTCCTCACCCCTCCCTGCCCAAGACTTGGGGCTCCATGATGTGGAGCTATAGAATGTGGTGACACCAGGGGTCTGGAATGCAGGGACAATGGGCATTCCTGCTCTGGCCCCCAGGCTGGCAGGGCCCTCACATACCGCAGGCCACAGGCCTGGACCTCCAGGGTTTCCGACGCTCCCTCCAGTGAGCTCTGCAGAGCTTGCAGCTGGCCCACCGTCTCCCGCAGCAGGAAACGCGTCACAAACTGGTCGACCTTGGAGGCCTGCTCATACTCCTGGGGGCAGAGAGGAAGTGGACAGCATCTCTGAGCCCTGAGCAGGTATTTCCGAGTGGTGAGCCGCCTCCCTGGTTGGCTGCCTTATGCCCATCCAGGTAACAGAGGAGTGTAAAGAGGGGGAGCATCAGACCTGGCCCAAACAGTGGGGCACCGAGACTCAGGGCAGGGAGGGCCTGGACCCTTCCTTGTCCAGCCCTGGCCTCTCCTGCTGGGACTTGTGAGGCCAGCCCACAGGGAGCAGCTGGCAGCTGGGGTGCTGGGCCCTTTTGGATCTCAAATCCTCTTCCTCTGGGGCCCACCACCTTGGGCAGCATGGCTAGTGAGGCCCCATCATAATCCCACATGGTGACGGGGTGGGGCTGGTAGTGGTGGTCACAGGCATCCAAGGGCTAATTTGGCACATGGTACAAGATGATGGTGTGATGTGGCCCCATATTGACCCAGCTGGCCCCAAACTTGCAATCGACATGTGTCCACACATGTATTCATTCATTCAACCTTGCCACCAAAGGTCACCACATGCTCTCTGGAGTTACCAATACAAGATAACCTGTTGACTTGTACACAACACACACACACACACACACCTGCGCGTGAGCGGGCACACACACAGGCCAGCACCTCCTCCCAGTCTGACCATGTGCCAGGCCCTGTGCCACCCACTTTGGGATTCTCAAAAGAGACTTCTCAACCACCTTCACCTTCCTGTGCCCTAGTTTCCTCAGCTATAAAACAAGAATGGGAAGTCTCATCCCACTGAGCCACTGGGAGCCCCCTCGGTTAATTCCTACCTAGGACTAGGCCCAGTGCCCAGCACAAGAGCTCCAATACCAGGAGAACTGTCGACATTTCTGTCAAATACACTGCTAATGAGGAATCTGCCCGCTTGTGACCCAGCAGTCACAGATGTCCTGAGAATTCCTCAGCCCCATATCTATTTCTCTCTCTCTCTCTCTCTCTCTCTCACACACACACACACACACACACACACACACACACACCCATGACAGGAGTCCTGGAGAAAGAGGGATGGAGTCATATTTTTCTTAGGCTAGTGTTTCTGTCTGCATGAAATCCTTCCAGTGAACTCCCTTTCAGTGCTGAAGATATTTGATCAGTTTCCATGATCATTTTTTTTTGCAATCAAAAACTTAGCTGGCTCAAGCACCCACTCCGTGTCAGGCACTATCCTAGGAATAATTCCACTTAACCTTCATAACAATTTACAGGAACCATAACGGACCCTATTTTGCAGATGAGAAGATTGAGGTCTAGAGAGGTTGATTTCTTCAGTCAAGGTCACACAGCTAGTTAGTGACAGGGCCAGATTTCAAAGCCAAGCCACAGAAATGCCTTTCCACTCACCACCAAGCTCCTTAAAAGCACTGCTTCATAGATGATCATTTGCCCAGTTTTACTGCTGGGAAATCAAGGTCAGAGGTCACAGACAGTGTGAATGGAGCCCAGATTCACCTGGAAGTTCTGAGGGCAGGAGGTTGGAGCCCAGCTGGTGAGGTGGACCCATGAGGTCACAATGTAGCTTCCCTCCTATACCCCACCCCCCTGCAGGGCCCCAGGTCAGAGGGCAGGGCAGAGGCAGCATGGGCTGTGGCCCCCAGTGGTAACCAGCCCTACCATGGGAAACAACAGTTCCCACAAGAGGACCAAAGCACCCAAGCAGGCCCACAAGGAGAGGCCACCGGACATGGACAAGGGCCAGCGGAAACAGTTCTCCAGCCACCTCCAGCGGAAGAAGCCAAGTGTGAGTTTGGGGAGGTGGAGGAACAAGTAGTGGGTGGGAATAGGAAGTCCTGGACAGGAGGGGATGCTCTAAGTGTGGGCCTGTGGGCAGAAGTCCTAGAGGGGTTACAGCATCCCTCCAGAGGACAGAGGTTCCAGAAGTCCACATGGGTGGGTGTGGGGGTCCTGAAACCCAGAAGGGACGGCAAGGGTTCCAAAACCTAGAAGGGTCTACAAGATCTGTGAGCCCAGGAGGATGGACAGAAGTGGGGTTCCCCCGACTCTGGACAAAAATGGGCCTGGAGGTCAGGCATGGGGAAGTAGCCCTCGTTGATACCACTGTGGCTGTGACACAGGGAATTCCCTTGCGCCCTCTCTCCAGGCCGCAGGCTCAAAACATACCACTTTCCCCCTCTTCACCTGGGGAGAGGCCCTTGACCAGGCTGAGGTGGGTGAGAGCCCCAGGCATCAAGGCTGGAGGGGAGGCAGGGAACCCAGCAGTAGGTCGGTCTGGGGCGAGTGAGGGCTTCCAGAGGGGATGGCGGGGTCCCGGCAAGCCAGTGGGGTGGGGAGGGTCCCTGACCTCTAGTGGGGACACACGGGTGCGCCTTCCCAGGTCCCGATGGGATCCCCGCACTCCCACGCGTGGCAAGATGACAAAGGTCCCAGAAATATAACAGTTCCTGGGAGGAGACGGGCTCTGGAGGGTGGTGCGCTCCTCCGCAGGCGCGACCTTCCCTCCCGCCCACCCACCCCCAGACCAAGATCGTGCTGCTTTTCCCGCTGGACAAGCGGCAGCAGCTGTCCGAGGCTGCGACGGCGGCGGCGGCGGCGGCGGCGGCGGCGAGCCCTGGCGCACGGCCCGGCCGGTCGGGTGAGAACGCATCCGGCGCCCCGGCGGCGGCGCCCATGCTGCGAGGGGCGGGCGACTGCGCTGAGACGCGCGAAGGCGCGCGCGCGAGAGAGATGAAGAAAATCCTGGTTCTGCTGCTGCTGCTGGACGCGCGGCTGCAGGAGGAGGGGCGCCGCGCGGGGAGCGGGGCCGGATCGGGGGGCGGACCCGGAGGCGGGGCCAAGGCCGCGCAGGGTTGGCAGCGGCTGTACGCGCGCCTGCTGACCGAGAGCGAGRCGGACGGCGAGGGCGACCCTGGAGAGGAGCAGCCCCGCAAGCGGCGCCGCTCCCCTCGCCCGAGGCCCTGAGCGGGGGCCCCGCCCAGCCCCGGCCCCGGGATCCAGCCCAATAAAGAGCGCAGAACAACTCTGGAGTCTGCTGGTTCTGTCCCGAGCTACAGGGGCAGGGGTGAAGGAGAATTTAGCCGATGCAGTTACCTCCGATGGCCTGGAGCTGGGGCACTTGCTTGTGACACAAGGGTCAAAACCCTTTCCGGCGACACTCCAGACCCTAATCAGACCCTGCCAGGTCTTGCAAGCTCAAAGTAGGTGGACTCTGGCAAATCTGGTCTTGGCTACGCTGGAAGGACCTGTTTCCAGCAAAGGCTGACATCTCCAAGAGTCCCTAGCATTCAGGAATCTTCCTCAGGCAGAGGGAGAGGTCCCGGCAGATAGGCAGCACCCCAGGGAGAACAGCAGATGGTGAGGCCTGAGATGCAGATTCTGCCTATGGGAGCAGCCAGGAGGAGGAGCTGGAGTCTCTGGGCCTCTGACCCATCACTCCTACCCCCATTGTGCTCCATGACTCCCAAGGAACTTAAATTCATCCCTTGCCCTACTCTGTACTGTCCCTCCTCACATTTCACCAAAGACTTCTTCCAAACAGTGTCTAGGGCAGTTCACTCCCCTTCTAAGTCTTGCTGGTTCTCCACTGCGCTCTGGGACTATGCAGGCCTTCTCCCCAGCCTCTATCTTCCCTTCTGAGGGCCTCTCAGTGGTGCCCCCTCATCCCTGCTCTAGCCAAATCAGCACTTGTGGTCTCCATGTGAGGCTCACTTCATATATCACAAGAGGCCCAGCACAATCTGGGCTGCCTCTCCTCACCACACTCTCTTGGTTCTCAAACCCAGCTCCAGGCCCTAAAGCCACCCCAGCATGCCATATCTGCAGCCTGCCTTCCTACCCCACACTGGTGACCAATCTCAGAAAGCCCCCTTTGGGGGTAGCCCAGCTCACTAGCGCCACAGGTCTAGCTTCTGCTACAGATACACTTTTGTTACTGTCAACACAAGGGACATCCCCTCCAGAAGGCCTACATCACAGGAGGTTGCATGACCCATACAGCAGCCCCTACACTGTGAGAACTGACTCTTCTGCCATCCAGATGGTTACAGTCAGGATAACTGCACTCCTGTGTGTAAGACTAGCCCAAGCTGACTTTTATCAGCCCCTTCTCTGGGACTGAAATTTGGGAGCTGTAAGGGACAATGATTTCTACATGAACGTGGACTGGCTAAAGCCAGTCTTCAGAGGAATAAAAACCTCACAAAGACTGCACATCCTGGCTCCCCTCAACCCTGAGGTCAGACTCTTCCTGAAAACTGATTTCACCCTTATCCTTGGTATCCATAAGATAAACAAGATTCAGTATAAAACCCTTATTTTAGTTGGCCTGCCTGGTGGTGCGCACCCAGTGGCTCAAGAGGCTGAGACAGGAGGACCGAAAGTTCAAAGCCAGCCTCAGCAATTTATCAAGGCGCTAAGCAACTCAGTGAGACCCTGCCTCTAAATAAAAATACAAAATTGGGGTGGGGATGTGGCTCAGGAGTTGAGTGCCCCTGGGTTCAATTCCGTGTACCCCCCCCCCAAAAAAAAACCAAAACAACAACAAAAAAACCCTTTCTCTTTAGCAAGTGAAAGGGCTGTACATCTGGCAAGAATAGAGCAGATAATCCAGCTATTTTGGGAAGGAACCAGACTGTGCTGGGCAGCTGAGGCCAGAACATGAATGCCCAAACCGCTGCCCTTGGCTTGGACAGAAGAGGAAGATAGGTCCAGCGTTTTCTTGGGGGGGAGGGGCCAGAGACGCTCAGTCAGTGCTGAGGTCACAAAGAGCCCCAATACAAGTTCTCTTCTCTGACGGTCCTCTCCCACCTCCACAACGAGAAACTTCTTTAGCCAAGCCAGGCGAGAGGTGCCAGGAGACTGCCTGGAGCTTAAGGGTTAGCCAGGACTCCAGCATCCCCACGGGGGGATATATGTCCTGATGGCCTTGCCACAAGGGCCTTTCATTGCCTGAGCTCTGCTTTCCCAGCATTTTCTCAGTATCCAAAGGATTTGGCCTGGCCCTCCCGTCATCCACCCCAGCAAGACCCGAGGAGGCGGGTCCGTGCGACCACGACGAGTCCCGAGGAAGTACTGGGCCTGGAGGAGCCTGGAGCTTGCAACCTAGGACAGCCAAACCGAGCCGCCGCTGGGCCCCGGCGGGAGCAGAGGTAGACCCTGGAGCTGAGGGCGGGGCCTCCGGCCTAGGGCGGAGCCACGAGCAGAAAAGAAGGCGGCCACTCTGCTCGAAGGGGTGGGGGGCACACGGCCGGCGGACGAAGTCACGGACTGAGAGGGACAATTATCCAGCGCAGAAAAAACTAGGACTTGGAGGCTCAGGCGGACCAGGCTCTGGGGCCGGGCCGAGTCTCTAAGGGCTGAACCTTCGCCGGAAGGTGGCGTCTGCGTCCCGCAGCCGCCGGGTCCGCCGGCGGCACTCCCTGGGCCACGTCGCCGTGGTGGTGGACCTGGGCTCGGGCTTCACAAAGGCGGGCTTCGCGGGCGAGGAGGAGCCGCGCATAGTACTGAAGAGCTCCAGTCTGGTGCCCAGCTGGGACCGGTCCGTGCAGCCAGGCACGCTGGGCTGCGAGCTGGCGGGCGGCGTGGCGCGGGCGCACCCCATCAAGCACGGCGTGGTGGTGGACTGGGAGGCGCTGGAGGGGCTCTGGCAGCGCCTGCTGGTGGGCGGCCTGCGAGTGCTGCCGGAGCAGTGGCCGGTGCTGGTGAGCAACTCGCCATCGGCGCCACCTGAGGACCGCGAGAAAGCGGCTGAGCTGCTGTTCGAAGCCCTGGCAGTGCCCGCGTGCCACATGGCCAGCACCGCGCTGCTGGCGCTCTGCTCCTCCGGCGCGCTCAGCGGGCTGGCCGTAGAGGCGGGCGCCGGCGTGTGCCACGCCACGCCCATCTACGGAGGTCACTCGTGGCACAAGGCCACTTTCCGGCAGGATGTAGCAGGCAGCACCTTGTCGCGCTACTTGCGAGACCTGCTGGTGACAGCGTGTCCCAACATCGGGGTGCAGGCCTTGCCCCGCAAGACCATCACACAGCTTAAGAAGCGCTGCTGCTATGTGTCGCTGGATTTCGAGGGTGATCTCCGTAACCCTGCCCGCCACCATCCTGCCAGTTTCTGCTTGGGCAAGGGGTGCTATCTGCGCATCACCAGCGAGCGTTTCTGTTGCCCCGAACCCATCTTCCAGCCGTGTCTGCTTGGCCAGTCTGAGCCAGGACTGGCTGCACTGGCCTTCCAGGCACTGCAGAAAATGCCCCCAACACTGCGAACAGGGCTAGCCAACTCTGTGGTGCTCGCCGGCGGTTCCACGCTTTTCCCTGGCTTCATTCAGCGCCTGGACCTGGAGCTGGAGGGTCAGTGCCGGCGGCACGGCTATCCCGCCCTACGGCCCCACCTGGTGGCCAACCCTGGGCGTGGCTCAGCTGTGTGGACTGGAGGCTCCATGGTGGCCTCCTTGGGCTCCTTCCAGTGTAATTGGATGACTCGCGCCATGTACCAGGAATGTGGCTCCAGGCTGGTGCACGAAGTCTTCAACTGAGCCATGTTTGCCAGGAGGTGGTGGTGCAACCTGGGGACTGCAGGGACATTGGCTCTAGGTTGAGTCACTGTCCTATCAGCCTTGAGACTAGATAAAGAATGTCAAGTGTTTGGAGCTGGCAGGCTCATCATGTGGAGGTGGGTCAACTCCGCTCCCTTTCTGGGTCAGGAGGGGGCGGATGGGACCCACTGGGCCCTCACGTTGACTTGCAGTTTGAATCCCCCCAACCCACTGCCAGTTCAGAGAATGTCAGTCCAGCTGTCCATTTGCAAGGCCAGGCCCAAGGCTATGTCACATGAAAGCAATCAGTAGAAGCCCTGTCCCTAGTTGTGTGATCTTTTAAACTCTGGAATCTCAGTTTCCCTTTTGGTATAAAGTGGGGTCAGAGGACTGAGGATGTAGCTGACAGATACAGCACTTGCCTAATGTGTGCAGAGCCCTGGATTCAATCCCCAATAGAGGAAAAATAAAAAATAATTTTAAAAGGCAGGATCAGGCCTCCCAGAGCTGCTCACTGCTCCTCCCCACCCAGCCCCAACTGGAGGAGCTGTGGGGCAAAAGGAAGTGGAGACATTTCTTAAAAGGAGCACAGGACTGGAGAGGTGGCTGCCTGCCTATATGCCTGAGGCCCTGAGTTTGACTCCCAGCACTGCAGGGGGAGAGGGAAGAATACATAAAGGGAGGGGTGGCTTATTTTTTTGAAGTCACTCTCCAAGGACTTGGAGCCCTAGCTGTCAGCACCGTTTACACTTGTGCCCAAAGGTGTCCACACATACACACAAACACATGGCCACACACATACCTGCCTATTCACATATGTCCTTAGGGCAAGACCCCATGGCTCCATGCACCAGCACAGGCTTTGGGCATGATGAGCTAGTCCCCCCATGAACCAGCCCATGCCCACTGGGTTCCGGCTTGATAGTTCCCAGCATTTATGTCTGGCCAAAACCAAAAACAGCAACGCTGCTCCAGGTCTAAAGCACCCACTGTGTGCAAGGCCTTGTTCTGGGTGCTGGGAACAAAGAAAACAAAACTTACTGCAAAAATCCCTGCCTACATTCTCATTTAATTATCACAACAAAAGTAAAGACAGATGAGGAAACTGAGGTCCAGAGAGGCAAAGAGGCATAGCCACTAAGTGGGAGAAGCTCTGCAGGCTTGAGCCATGACAACAGAGTGTCCAAAGCATAGCATATACCCATGTGGGGACCCACCATCAGCCACTCCACTCACCAGCTTGGTGGCGTCCATGGCAGTGAGTACTGCACGGTTCAGTGACTCCAGTGCAGCCAGCACAGGCCGGTAGACACCCAGGTGTTTGGAGAAGTAGTCTGCAAGGAGAAGAGGTGCTCACGGGTTCTGAGCCCTGCTCCCCAGTTGGGAATTTGGCCACCTAGAGTTCCCCAGCTACCAAGCAGTTCTCATATCCTGAACCCAGCCCCTTCTGTCCCATCAGAAACCCAGCAACAGCCCCTCACCATATCCACCTGCCCAGGGACCTGGGAAACATGCACCTACTCACCACATAGTTTATCTGTTTCTAAATTGCTGCAGAGAAAAAAAAAAGACACCCTTCAGACCCTGAGGCCTGGTCTGGCAAACTGGAATGTCCCCAACCCACCCCTGACCCCCAACTCAGCCTGACAAGGAATTGGGGGTATCTGGTCAGTGAGTGGGGGGGAGTGCTGCAGACAAAAGGGTCCAACCCAGTCTTGGGAGCCCCGCATGCCAGCCTAGAGTCTGGGGTTTATCCTGAGGAGACGGAAGGGAAGGCGTATACATGTGTGATGTGTGTGCACCAGAGCGAGGAAGCTGGGAGGAGCTCACTCGCCCTGCCAAGATGTGTAGATGTGGGAGCACACGTGGGAAGATGTGGGAAGGGGTGTGTGTGTGCACCTGCACCCCTGGGTGGAGGCGGGTGGAGGCAGGCGGAGCCCAGCTGTCCCCAGGCAGCCTCTGGTTCCTGCAGGAAGCGGGAATGAAGGGGTTGAGCCACAGGTGGTGACTCAGGTCTATTTTGGGGTTCCAGCCGAAAGCATCGTGGTGGGCAAGGCTGGAAGCGGGGGTAAAGCTGGCACCAAACCCTGGCACCTTTCTTCTCACTACCCACCCCAGTCCTCCAAAAAGAACAGAGGCAGTAGGGGACAAAGTGGGGCTGGGACAACCTGGCCTGGCACCCACCCACGCTCAGTCACCCCCTTGCACTCACTCAGTGGGACAGCCGTCAATGCTGCTGAACAGTTCCCGTAGCTCCCCGGGGCTGAGAACCCCATCGGCAAAATAGTTCTGGAACTCTTCAAATGAGAGCTTGCCATCATCTAGGAGGGGCAGGGACAGCGTCAGTGTCCCTGAGCCCGGATCATGCCCTGCCTCCAGGTCCAAGCCCCTCCAGGCCTCCCAGTATCTCACAACCACCTAGCCAGGTGCCATGGGCTCTGAGCTTAGCCCCTGACTGCTGGGAGAAAAGGACTGGAGTCCCCAGAACAGGGGAGGATCCAAATGTTAGCCAAATGAGGAAATGAAAAGTCAGCCCGGACACAACTGCAGCACAGCCTGATCTCGCTGGGGAGGAATTAGGGCAGAGTGTCTGGCCCCGAGGCTGGCCAGCTTCACCCTGGGTACAAGGACTTCTGTGCTCTGGACCCAGAACCTTCACTGAGAAGCCAGTGGGAGGCCTAGGAAATCTTCCTAAATAGGTGGACTCTGTAAGAAGCTTCAGGCTGGCTCTGGAGGAAATGCTGTCCCTGGGGGACAGGGTAAGCCGAGCTGTGCAATTGAGTGGGATGTTCAAAGATGCCAGAGAGTCAGCCTGAATGATATAGAGAGTCACTAATAAATGGGGAGGGGGAGCTGCGGAGCAGGAGGAGGGGTGGTAAGGCCTGAGGCTCTCCAGAAGGAATGCCCCAATCAAAGGGGGGACATGTCTTTTTTGGGGGGGAGAGAAGGGTTGGGGGTATATGGGGATTGAATCAGGGGCGCTATACCACTGAGCCACATCCCCAACCATTTTTATATTTTGTTTAGAGACAGGGTCTCACTGAGTTGCTTAGGGCCTCACTGTTGCTGAGGCTGGCTTTGAACTCACGATCCTCCTGCCTCATCCTCTCTGCTGGAATTACAGGCATGTGCCACCACACCTAGGCAGGGCATGTGTCTCAGTCAGTGGGTTGGGACAAATGGTTCCCACAATTAAAAAATACCCAAGGAGAAGGAGCAAGGAGTGGGGACACTACCCCATCTCAAGGAGGCTGGAACATGGGGGTGGGGGTGGGGGGAGGTAAAGACCCAGAGGGAGGGGAGCTCCAGGCAAAATGGCCCCTTCAGCTCAGACCCTCCACTGGCTGGTCACTACAGGGGGCTGTTCCCAGCCATCTAGAGGCAGCAAACCTACAGCGTGCTAGGCTGGACCAGGGGCAGAAGGAGCTGACTCAGATTACTGGACCCCACTGTATCCTTGCCCAAAGGCTGGGTTTAATTGTGTCCTCTGAGCCCTCGATGGATCTAGATGGTAAGTCACACGTGGAAAATGAGACCTCTAAAAATCTGGGTGAAGTACCATTATCCCACCCTTCCAAGCCCCTCACACAGGGAATTTAGAACCACATATCACCACCAATTAAAGGCTGTGTGACCTCAGGCAGCTTGCTTCCCCTCTCTAGGGTTCTACTCCTTTGTCTGTGAAATGGGTGAGGAATCTCAATCCAGCTGGCACTGCAAGGCAACACAGGTCACATACCAGAAGTACCCATCACTGTGCCAGGGCACTGCGTGAAAACAAGCCCCCACTTCCAGCCTCTACCCAAACCACTCTCCCTCTGCTCTCCCTTCCAAATTTGACTCGGAATAGCACTTCCTCCGGGAAGGATGCATTGATTTGATTTCCCTGTTTCAGGGTCCCCAAGATTTGTCTCCACTCAAATTCTCCCCCAGTTCCCCAACTCTCCCCTGAGTCTCCCTGATGGACTCCCACTCACCACCGAGTCCCAGAGAAAGCGACACTCACCATTCTTGTCTGCTCTTCGGAAAACCTAGAGGACAAAGGGACAGGAGTGGGAGCTGGGTGGGGGTAAGAAGCAAGAGGCGCCACCCGACCCAACAGGGCCCCAGCTGCTCTGCCTCCCCGCTGCCTGGCCTTACCTCCTGCTCAGCCTGCCCCAGCCCCCTGCTCAGCTCAGCCTGCAGGTGCTCTTCCAACAAGGGAGGCACAGGAAAGGCACACAGCAGGTCCCACTGCTTGCTCCCTGCTCCTGCAGAGCCTGGCTCCATGGGGTGCCCCAGGCCAGCTCCTGCACCCCACATCCCACACCTGGACGCCAGCCTGAGTTCTGTCTGATGCATCAGCCCCTGGCACCGTCCCCGCTTGAAGAAGGTGCAGAGATGGGTCAAGATGCGGTCCAAGGATCCAAACCAGACCTGAACCCCAACTCTGGCCACCCACAGTCCATCCCAGTCTTCGCCCTCTGAGCCGGTCCCCTGCATGCCTGTGCATTCCCTTCTTTGCCATACCTCAGTTTTCCCACTAGTGTCCCAAGGAGCAGCCTAGGGTTAACCCTTCAGGGCAGGGGCTTCCCACAGAGACAACTTTATGTGAGGGCTGTGGGTAGGTTTGCTAGTGCCCAAGGGAGGTGAGGGTGGGGAGGCAAAGATCAGATTTTATTTACAGAGAGGCGGAGATGAAAGGCACCAGAGGCAGTAAAACAGCCTCTCAGGGATCAGAAACTTCCAGGTCCCCCAAAGCTCAGCAAAGGGCAGCCCAGCAGGCCTAAAAAAGAGATGCAGACCAAAGCCTGGACAGAGAGCCCTCATAGCTTCAAGTCCTCACTCCCTTTGGTTGATCCCCTCAGGGTCAGTGGGTCTAAAGAATCAGCCAATGCCTAGCCTGAATCAGAGAAGGTATGCTACAGGGTTGGGATCACACAGCAGCCCAATGGGGCCTGGGTGGGTGGATGGAGATATGGGCAGGGAGTTAAATTGAGAATTAAGACACCTGGGGCCACACCCAGTAATACCCCTGCTTCAATATGGACATATCCCCTCAGGCCTTGGTGTTCCTGAGAAGCAGGAGGATCAGCTTTCAGTCAGAACTGTTTGTGGTCAAGGTGCTGAGTCACTGGGGGTTGTGGGGAGGGGGCAGGATTACAGTCTTTCCCACTGGTAGGGACCTCTGGAATGGAGACAGAGCACAGGAGTAAAAGGGAGTGACTGGGACCCAGAAATGCTGCTCCACACTCACAGAAGGGGGCTGCAGGGCCACCTGCTGCCCCATGGAGTGGTACCCAGACCACAGAGGATAGCTGTGGGCAGCCTTCACCAGCTGCGGGACTCCTCTTGCCCTTGGGTCAGAGGGGCTCTGGAGGTACTACTAGGGTCAGGAGAGGGCTCCTAATGTGTCCAGGCGCTCCGGCCCATCCGCCCGGCCAGGCGCCACCACAGAGCAGGGACAGTGACTGCTATCTTAATTGTGTTGACAGTCCCCACCCCCACCAGACAGAGATTGTTTGGGGGTTTGGGACAGCAGGGACGGCGACACTGGAGCAGAGACAAGGAGTGATATGAAGAGACAGGACTGGGGACGCGGAGGCAGCGAGATCGGAATAAGGAAGACGAGGGACAGAGGGGCAGCTGGGTCAGAGATCGCGAGAGGGACAGGGTCAGGGAGACACGCACTGAGACCGAGATGCGGAAGCACAGAGACGGGGCCGGGAGACGGTGACAGCGAGCCCGGGAGACGCCCCGCCCGCGCCCCACTCACGTCCTGGAAGAGCGCGTGTCCGGCGGGCCCGGCGGCGGCGGCGGCAGCTGGGGATGCAGGGGGCCGTGGGGCCGCGGGCGGCCGGAGCAGGCACACGGTGAGCAGCCCTGCGCACGCCATGGCGCCGCCCGCTCGGCTGGCTGCGCTCCGCCAGCAGCGCTCCGCTGAGGCTCCCTCGGGCCGGACGCCGCGGCGGGCCGGGGGCTGGGGGCGCCCGCCCATTGGCGCCGGCGCGAGCGCGGCCCCGCCCCCGCCCCGCCCCCGCCGCGCTCCCCGGACTGGCCTCCGCCGGTCAAGCCGGGCCTCGGTTTCCCCGTCTGCGCACTGAACGACTCCAGCCTGGACCCTCCCCGCGGGTGCGCCACCGAGGAGTGAGGAACCACCCAAGGGGTAATTTCCACTCGGGACGGGCCGAGCAGATCCAGCCAGCGCGGGAGTGCACCGCAGGAGCAGAACGGGAGGGCTGCGCGAACACCGGACTCAAGGCCCAGAGGGTCAGCAGCCAACTGAAGAAGCGAAACCCAAGGGTCGATTTCTCGCTAGGTCTGTCTGTCTAATGGGGGTAAAAGTGGACGCCCCCCATAGGATTGTCGTGGTGATGCATTTGAATGTAAAGGGGTTAAATTGGGCCAGCTCAGAGACCACCCACCCGACAGTCTATTACACAGGTCCATGCTGCTGTCACTCTCCCCTTTCCCAGGTGTCAAGTGTCCTGACCCCACAGTCTGCACTTTCAGAGTCCTCAGCCTTCTTTTCCCCCAAGCTATTTGGGCTCTCCCTTCAACGGTCTCTGTACAGCTGCCAGAGGGAGCTTTAAATATGAAACAGGACATGTCCCTCCTTAGACTGCCTGGTGACTCTTTGTACCCTGAATAAAACCCTAGAATGAATGTCTCTCCTCCCTCAGGACTCCATCCTCATTAGGTCAGTTCCTCTGACCTGCCCCACTGGGCCCTAGGGCCTCTTTGCCCATACTTTTTTCTCTGCTTGGTGTGTTCCTCTTCCTTCCTCCAGTTAACCCCTATTGACCCTCAGTTTTCAGCCTAAGCACCGCCTCTTCCAGAAAGCTCTCCCCTAATTTTTCTTTTGCACAAATTCCCATCAAAACACCCTTGAGGGGAGGGAACCCACTCACCCCAAGACTGGAAAGTACCTGACACAGATACCAAAAATATCAGTGACCCCTGGGGCTAAAAGGAGAGAAACTCATCTGTTACTTCCACACTTTGGCAGCATGTGTGACTTTCTACAACAATATTTATTGGATCAGTTTTTAAGTTAGGAAGCCTTCCTTTCTTAGGGTTATGAAACTCAAATGGAATGAAATCCATCTGAGGGACAGAGAGGAGAGGAGAATGGGCATTTTCCCTAAAAACCCTGGTCTCTCCCACTCCCAGATTTACATCAAGTAGAGATCTAAAACCCAGCCCAAACATCATCAAAATGTTTATTAAAACCAAAGCAGGAGGAAACAGCTGTTAGGAAACAAATCAAAGTGCAGATTGGAGGGTGGAGCAGAGCAATAAGTGGTAGGGGGGCACTTCAAACACCACAGGAGGGGCCCCTCAGTCTAGGCTGGGGAGCCCTTCACCCACCCCTCCTGCCCACCCTGTTAATGAAGGTCCCCACTCACCTCTCCCATCTCATTTCCATGGGGAGGGCATCTGGGGCTCTGAAGTGACCCCTGGAAAGGGACCACCCCTCCATCCACCCATAGCTGTCAGTCAGTCTGTCTCCCTTCTGCCTTTCCCCAATAAATAAATCGCTCAGGCCTCAGCTCCCTCGGGATGGGGCAAAAGAACCACTTGGGGACCCCTGTCTTTGCGCAGGGGTACAGGGAGTTAGGGTATCAACCCCACATCCCTCCCAGTCTTGTTTCCCAGGCTTGCCAAAGAGGCCTAGATAAATAAATAACGCTCCATTAAAGCTTCGATCAGAAAACCTTAAGACAGAAGTGCTCTTGCAAACCCAGCCAGCCAAGGCCTCCCTGCCTGGCCAGGTCAGCACACAGGATTCTGGGGGCAGGCGGCCAACCCTGGGCCTTCAAGGGCCCCTGGAACAAGGAGACCGAAAGTGCAGTTAGAGCCCCCCATGCACACACATGGACTCATGCACACACGTGGACACATTGGGGCGTGTCTGCAGTGCACGCACAGATGTGTTCACCTTCATTCCCCGGTACATGCACACACACATATTCACACACCACTCACCCCAGTTACACACACGTGGGGTGCTGGGTGCATGCACATACACACCACAAACAGAATCCTTCCCTTCCTGGCCTGCTCAACCTCCTGGTGGCAGCCAGACCCCAGAGCTAGAAGCTGCTGAGATGGGAGAGAGGGTATAAATTACACTTTTCCAAAAGGGCTGGAAGGATGGCCTAGGGCAGGGGGCTCCAGGGCTGCAGAGACAGGGAGGGGCATCTCAGGAGACCCTGGCCCCCTAGGACCTGTCAGAAATCCAGGGGGGTCAGATCCCCAAAGTCACAGTCGAAGAGGTCTCTGATGCCCTCACCCTCCTCAAGGCCAAAGTGGTAGTCGAGGGCCTCGTGGGGTGGGGAGAGGCTGATGAACTCCTCAGGTAGGAGCCCAGAGAAGTCTTCCCGCACATGCTCCAGGAGTGAGTCAGCAGCCACCAGCGGGGATAGGCGGTCCTCATCCATGGGGGCCCGCAGGCCACCCATCCTTGACAACAGTGGCTCTGGGGAGACGGGGGAGCATCACAGGCCAGGGATGGCCCAGCAGAGAGGACAGAGGGGGCTGCCATGCCTGCTCACCCATCTAGGGGAGCCCCCCCACTCACCCTTACCCACCTTGCTCCAGGCTGAGCAGGGACTGGCTGGGATCCATAGCAGGGGACGAAGGCGGAGGTGATGGTGGTGGCACTGTGGTGATGGGGTCAGTTGTCCTGTCCTCCTCTCCAGAAGCTGCCTCCTGGGATGGAGTCTTTGCTGGGCTGATCCCGCCCACACTCTCTTCAGGGCACAGGAAAACATCAATGGGGCCTTGTTTGCTCTTGAGGGAGATCTGAAAGGTCTGGGTAGAGGCAGCAGGCAGAATTACCTGAGGCCCAGGTGACCACTATCCCAGCCCAGCTTGTCCTCATTGGGCCTGAAGTCCCTGGTCTTACCTCTGAAGAGTCCACGGCTTGAAGTTGGGTCTCAGGAGGAGCCTTGATCACCATGACCATCTGCTCTGCAGGGTCTGCAATGCTACGAAGGTCCTGGCACGTCACATAGGCCAGGGTTGGTGGAGTCAAGGAGTATATGATCTTTGGTCTCTGGAGGCCACTCACCGTGACAGCCCCCAAGACAGGGTCCATACTTGCCTTTTCACTCGTCTTCCTGATCCACCATAAGGTTTGGCACATAATTGGTGTTAACACTTCATTCCCCTGGACATCAATGGCCACATCAGTACAGTGGGACTATCTACCCATCTCATTCAAAGCTAATAATGATGGCTGACAGTGATAATTCCACATAAAAAGCTTAACACAATGCCAGGCCTGGTGTTGAGAGTATATTGGCCTATGATCTTGGTGTCAATTGATGGCTATGGCCAAAAATATATGTGTATTTTTTGGGGTCCTAGGGATTAAACCCAAGGCTTTGATCAAGCACTCAGTGCCAGAGCCTTCTCCTGAATCTGAGATCCAGGGCCTCTCCACCCACTTGGGTGGGTAACCCCACCTATCACACCTGTCCTCCAAGTCCCCAGCCAATCCAAGGATATCGCTGGCTGTCAGAGTCCTCGGAGAGCAGCCGCAGCTGTGTGGTGCAGATGTGCATCAGGTGGTCCAGCTGCTGCTCGCTCTCCTGCAGTTGCTGGAGGTCCTGGGTCAGCCCTTCAAGCCGCCCACCGATCCCCACTGTGGCGTGGCTGCCTCTGTGGAGAGGTGTTCAGGAGGGTTAGCAGCTCCCAGCCCCTCTGCCCATCAGCCCTGGCCCTTAGGACACTGCTGTGGCCACTGATCTCAGATTCTTTTTTTCCTTTTATTTTTTTTTAAGTTGTAGATGGACACAGTATCTTTATTTATTTTTTTTTTTATGTGGTGCTGAGGATAGAACCCAGTGCCTCACATGTGCAAGGCAAGTGCTCTACCACTGAATCACAGCCCCAGCCCCTGATCTCAGATTCTGACAGGATTTCTCCTCTCTGGCTCCAGCTCCTCAGCTGGGTTCCAAATCAGACTGGCCTGACTGCCAACAAACACCTACATGTCCCTACCAGGAGGCTGAGTAAATAAATGATGGCAGAGATATGCCCTGGAAAATGACCCAGCTGTATAAAAGGACGAGAATGAATTAGATGTACACATGAAATTATTTCCAAGACATGTTGTCAAGTGAAAAGAAAAAAAAAGTGATGCAGAATAGGATGATCTACCCCAAACTGAAAAGACCAATGTGTCAAAGACAGGGTAGTAGGGTTGCCTGGGGAGAGGCGAGAAGGGAAAAATAAACAATTAACAGGATAGCCAGGCATGGTGGTGTAAACCTCTAGTTCTAGCTACCTGGAGACAGGAGGTAGGAGGATCACAAGTTTGATAGCCTAGAGAAACAGATGTTATTAAAAAAACAAAAACAAAAAACGGGTGGGGGGGAATACATCTAAAACATCTATACATCTGTGTCAAACAAATCTCATCAATGGCAGCAGAAGCCAGAATGGGGACTACCTGGTGGTATGAGATGAGCAATGACCAGGAAGGGGCACAAGGAAACCTCCTGGGGGTTGAAGAAATTTTTTTAAAATCTTGATCTTGGTGGTTACTCAGATGAACAAATATGTACAGCTACATTGAGCTGGATAAGTTTGAAATCTGTGTCTGTTGCCAGGTGTGATGACACTCACCTATAATCCCAGTGACTCGGGGGAAGGATTGCAAGTTCAAGGCCAGCCTCAGCAATTTAGCAAGACCCTGACTCAATAAAAAGGACTGGGAATGCAGCTCAGTGGTAAAGTGGTCTTGGGTTCAATCCCCAGTACAAAAAAAGATTTGTGTACTTCTCAGCATCTAACAGCCCAGGGAAACCACATCTGTAGTTTCAGTGCCCCAGCTATAAGATGGGAATGCAGAAGTCAGTGGGTATTGCCAGCAGCACGGGCAGGTATTTGTTGTGCCTGCCCAGAGCCTCTGCCTGCCCTCCTGATTGCCTGGTACCT